GCAGTAGGGTGAGGTAGTGGGGAGGGGCGGGGCGAGGCGAGGGTAACGGCTGTCAGGGGGTATGGGCGAGGTGCGCCGCACGCTTTGTCCGTGTCCCCGCCCGGCGCGGGCCCCGCGCACACGCCACCCGTCCGTCATCCTCGCGCTGGTCGCGGAGGGGGCGTGGCGGCCCGGTCCCGCCCCGCCCCGCCCGGAGCCAGCGCGCAGGCGCAGAGCAGCGCGGCCGGCGGGCCCGGCAGGTGCGGTGGCCCCTCGGCGCGGCCCGAGCCGTGACGGCCCCTGCTTCCCCGGAGCTGCCATGGAGCGGAGGCTCCGCTGGGACCTAGCCAGGGTCTGCTGCTCCCTACTGGCCGCGCTCTGCGCCCTGCGCTGGGCCGCCGCCGAAGCCAGCAGCGGCCGGGTAGGTGCTGACCGAGCGGGCCTGAGGCCATCGAGCGGCGTGAGGGAGCGGGGAGCGGCGCTCCCCCTCGCCGGTCGAGGGAGAGTGAGCCCCGGGGGGAACCGGCGCCCCTCGTCCCTCGGCGGGGGGACTTAGCTCCTGCGGGGGGGCGTTGGCGCCTGTCGCGCCCCCCTCCCTCGCCCGTCTGGGGGGCAGGATGAGGGTGTTGCGATGATGCCAGTAGGCTCTAGTGGGGGCACTGGCTGGGCGGGTCTGTGCCCGGGCGTCCGGGAACTGCGGTGGCTAATGGGCTCTGTCAACATTTTTGAATCTGCTCTGGAAAAGTTGGTGTTTCCTTCATGGGAAGAAATTGATAAAGAATTAATGGGGGAAAAAAGGTGATTTTTTTCACCCCCCCATGTGATTTACTTTGTGCAGGTAGTAGCTTGAAGGTATTTTAGCACAGAATGTGAGGAAGTGGGGGTAATTTCTCAGCTAGTTAAGTATTATAGGTCATTACTGCTTTCATTGTCCATGGGAAATATTTGCATTTCTCTATTTTTGTAGGTTCAAAGGATATGTGGGTATAGGAGAATGTATTTTAGAGCAGTGGTTCTCAACCAGGGGTATGTGCATTGCTGGGAGTACACAGAAGTCTTCCAGGAGGTACCTCAACTCCTCTATAGATATTTGCCTAGATTTACAACAGGCTACACAAAAAGCACTAGCAAAGTCAGTACAAACTAACATTTCATGCAGACAATGACTTGTTTATACTGGTTTCAGAGTAGCAGCCGTGTTAGTCTGTATCCGCAAAAAGAACAGGAGTACTTGTGGCACCTTAGAGACTAACAAATTTATTTGGGTATAAGCTTTCGTGAAGTGGGTTTTAGCCCACAAAAGCTTATGCCCAAATAAATTTGTTAGTCTCTAAGGTGCCACAAGGACTCCTCGTTGTTTTTGCTGATACAGACTAACACGGCTACCATTCTGAACCCCCCCCCCCCCAAAAAAAACATTTTGCTAATGAGAGGACAATTTTTCAAGTGCCCAGTACACACATTTGATGTTAGTAGCTCCTGACAGTTTGCACTCTTTTGAACATCTGATTGCTTATTTAGGGGACTACATGGAAGAAGAGGTTTTTTTTGCACTTTCTCCCATTCTGGCCCTGTATGCTCGTGAGGAAGAACTTCTTCATAAAATATCCACAAAGTCACCTATTAGCCTCTTTTAATTCTGTCCTTAAAGCTCATCTTTGCCAGGAAAACTACAAAAATTCAAGAAAAAACTGCTGTGCTCAAACAGCTGCTTATCATGTTGATCATACTTGTCTTATTTTCATGTATTAGTCTCCTTTGTTTGTATCTACCTGTGATCTTTCATCTTAGGTTCAATTTTGTGTAGCTCTCTGGGCTAGGGACCATCTCTTCAGTTAGCTGTTTGTGCAGTGCCCAATATAATAAATAAAGGATCTCTAGTGTTTCCACAACGTAAGCAGTAAATAATAATAAAAGCACCCTAATCTCTCACTACTCCATTGATTTACAGGCATGTCCCTTTTTGTCAATTATTGGATGTTTCTCCCCTCTGTTTTCATTGAAGCTATTAGGTGTTCCCTCAGTTACAGACTAAGAGCTTTTTCTTCCCGGCCCCCGTTATGGTCTGTGACTGCATTCTCCCTGATTGTCTCCTACCTCGTCTTTATCCACCAGTGTTTGCTGTAGTCTGTGGACATTCTTTATGGTTTGGGGAAGACTTGGAAAGTACTTGCATCACAGCAGATCTCTTTGGCTTTTAATGGGACCATACAGGTTTGGTGTACTTGTAATAGCATTGCAGGTCAGTGTACAGAGAGGGGTGCTGGAGTAGAAATCTGGGTCTTGTGTGCTTTTTGAAACCATGCTGTAAACCTATATAGAACTGAATATAATGTGATGGGAATTGGGCAAGAACCTTTCCTGTGTTTCGGGGCTTGGTCATTCTGTGGTGTGGAGAAGATGGATATCCCCACACTGTGCTGTTTGTTGGGTGGAGGGGGAATGTATATATGGGGCTGGAGCCTGCAGCAGCAGGGAGTAGAGCAGGGTCTTCTGTGTTGAGATGGAGGCTGGTGTTGGGGTAGGTTGTAGGGTTATAAAATGACACCCATTGAGGGATGTGGAATGGTGCATATGCCTCTGTATTTGTATGGGGAGAATGAAGCAGTACAGGATGGGAGAACTGCATGTTCCTACAGTGTTGAAAGGGATTGGTGTGGAATGGGAGATGCCTGCTGGGTATTGAGCACAGGATATGGGAAACCGGGGTTCCCGGTTGGCACAGGCTGGAAGAAACAAGGGATGCCACTATGGGTGTGTGTGTGGATGGTGTGGTTCTTTTGGTTTTGGTTTTTTTAAGGCTGGGAGAGAGCGAGACCATAGACAATGTCATAGATGGTGGAGCAAGGTGTGATTCCCTGCATTGTGAAAAATTGAAGGGAGTTCTTGGGACACAGTTGCCAGTAGTTCAAGGCTTTAGGGAAGCTTGGGAGTGTGTTATATCATGGTGGGTAGAGTGTTCAGGATGAAGTTGCTCATCTGACTTGGGTTGGGGGAATATAATGTTATTATGTAGGTTGGCACAATGTAAGCGGGTGGCATCTGGGAGCTGTATAGTCTGGGGAATGTTTAGAGACTCCTCACTGGGGTGGTTCAGGAAGGACTGAATCTCTGCAGAGGAGATTGGGGCAAGGGTGTTCTTGCATCATCAGGGTAAGGTCAGTGTGGGGTAGGGTAAGCTGGGGACCTTTAAGTAATGGGGTTGGATTGGTGAGCTTTATTTCAGAGGGTGACAGGATGAAGAGATGGGGACCACATATGCTGACTTATTGTTCCCGGTGGGTGCTCCACCCAAAGTCCTGCCCCCACTCCACCCCTTCCCCTGAGGCCCATTGCTTGTTGCTCTCTGCCCTCCCCTGAGTGCCTCCCACCAGCTGCTGAACAGCTGTTTGGTGGGTGCTGAGCATCTCCTATTTTTTTTCCCCATGGGTGCTTGATCTCTGGAGTACCCATGGAGTTGGCACCTATGCTGGTGACTGTTTCAGCGATTCAGTATGTGGGGTAAAGATAGTGGGGAAGTGCCATTCTTGCAGGAGACAGGTGAAGTGTCTACTGGCTGATAGGTAGGACAAATTTGCACTCTGCTTCTTGTGGCCTCTAGGAAGCAGTGAATAGCCATACTGTAGTGCACTGCAGCTATGGCCCAACACTGGGGCTAGGGGCAGGGCCGGGCGTAGAGTCCTTATCCCTTCTCTGCACCAACTGGAAAGTCCTCTGCACATAGAAAATTCTCAGTACAGAGAATGTTTCTGTTGCATGACAGGTCCTTAGTGTAAGTGAGAGTTGGGGGCCTTTAAAAGTTTAGTATCTTCCTTAGTTTTAGTTGGAATAGAAAGTATTTTGTCATAAGGAGATATATCAACTTTATTCCAAAAACGGAAGAGAAATATTTATTGACCACTTGTCTTTTCTGCGTCATTGTCCGCTTTGCCATCTGTACCATTGTCAGGACTCCTTTTTTTTTTTTTTTAATGGAGATATCCCATCTCCCAGAACTGGAAGGGACCTTGAAAGGTCATCAAGTCCAGCCCCCTGCCTTCACTAGCAGGACCAAGTACTGATTTTGCCCCAGATCCCTAAGTGGCCCCCTCAAGGATTGAACTCACAACCCTGGGTTTAGCAGGCCAATGCTCAAACCACTGAGCTATCCCTCCCCCCTGATGTATTTAAAACAAAATTCTTCTTTATCCTATTGGCCCTGGACACTTCCTTTAAATCTTTAGCAGTCCTTATCAATTTCCTACATTTCTTAACTTGTATTTTATATTCATATTTGCCTCCCCTTTTTTCCATTTGTTATCAGTCTGCAGCTTTCATATTCTGTCTTAGCCGAAGATGGTTTTTAACTGAAGTTTAAAAAAAAAAAACATGATGGAGAAACTGACTCTAAGAACATCTACTAAAGTGTTCTTAAACAACTCCCCATGTTTTTTCACACTTTTTCTATTTCATTTTTTTCTATGCCAATTTTGTTAATTACTTTTAGCTTTGAGAAACTGGCCCATATAAAGCACAGTGTCACTTAGATGCTGTGACGGGTTGGATCAGAGAAACCCCCTTGGGAACTGCCAACTCATGTGCCAAGACTACTTCTGCCCCTGCTTTCCCTGCCAGCTTGGGACTCCAGCACCCTGTCTTGCTGAGCCAGACATGCCAGTCTGCTCCAACACAGACCCAGGATCTGAACCACCTGCCCCAAAGCTGCAGACTTAACTGAAAGCAACTTGAGAAGTGTTCCTGTCTTTAACACTCAGATGCCCAACTCCCAATGGGGT